CGTGGCAGGGTACAGCTAGTTATAAATATAGTCTTATTTAAAAGTGTGGATTCGGTTAAGATATGTCCTTCACTAACTTCACAATTTCTTCTTCTTCTGGGCATTTTCTACCTCATAAATAGCAAGTTTCTCTTACTGCAGCCAATTTTAATTGATGTCTACTTTTGATCTTCTCCCTCAGTTCGCCAAGTCATGAGGGAGAAACATATGTAGGACCTCTTCATGTATGATTCATTTAAATGACCCTGGCAGGTGTGATGGTTACTTTGATCTTTTTTATGTATTGCAGTACTTAGAATGATTGGACTATTCACAGTGTAAGTCTATGGATGTATTTCCAAAACAACCCTGCTGTGTTTGATGGGGTTGATTTGTGAGTAAAGGTGAACAAACCTGCAGTGTCATGTATCACCACTCCGCTTCTGTGCAGTAGCGAAAATGTTTAAACTAGGGATTGGAACTATATGATTCTCCAAATATTGTTGGGCTGCAACTAATAACATGCAGTAAAGTGCAGAATGATGAAAGCATGATCCAGAAGCATCTAGAGAAACACCCAATAACCAGTCTTGTAGAAAATAAAATGACCTTAAATTCCTGTGTCTTATATATTACATGATGAACTTCTTTCATTAACATCTTAATTTTTCATTTAGAAATACAGGTTCAGGATCCCTAATCCAAAATGCTTCTGACTAGATATTTTAGAGATGGGACATACCTATAAACAAAATGTATGTTTCATACACACTTTGTAAACATATCCTGAAAATAATTTTGTATTTTTAATAACTGCATTAAAAAAGTGCAAGTTTCCACTTTCTCAGCCATCCATGTAGACCAGTGGTTCTCAACCAGTGGATCCCCAGGTATTTTGGCCCACAACTCTCAGAAATCCAAGCTAGTTTACCAGCTTTTAGGATTTCTGGGAGCTGAAGGCCAATACATCTGGGGACTCCCAAGTTAAGAACCACTGCTGTAGACAGTTTTTGAGGATTTGGGAATTAAAGATAAGAGATGCTTAACCTGTATTTATTTTGTAGTAACTTGATGATAATGACATATATTACGTTGTTTTTCCAAGTCTTGCTTAATTTTTGTTTTCTTTTTTGCATTTCAGAGATTAATCTACTATGGGCAGGACACCAAACTCATCATAGTTCAGAGGATTATAATTTATTCACAGCATTAAGGCAATCTGTTTTGCAGAAGTATACATCTTGGGTAAGTTATACAAAATGCACAATGGCCTGTAATAAATATTATTACATTTGTAATAAATATTAACAAGTGTTCCAGTTGTCAATAATTTTGCACCATCAGTTCGATGTCTTTTTAAATACACTTAAGGTGAAAGTGTATTTACAATGTTAATTGCTATCATGTTTTTAGTCAAGTGGATTCATATTACTTATTTACTTACTTACTTAGGCCATCCCTCGTAGTTCAAGGATGATGGTCATCCAAGTGTAGTATCCTGGCGGTGGGTCTGTAGGTGACTGTGAAGCTCTATTTTTGATCTGCATCTTCTCCCACAGTGAGGGCATCAGTTTCCAGGTGGAAGGCTGTCCTAGTCGGGGCAGGCTTGACACGCCTTCCTCTTGGCACATTTCTCTCTTTCGCCCTCCATTTGTGCCTCTTCAAATTCTGCAGCACTGCTGGTCACAGCTGACCTCCAACTGGAACGCTCAAGGGCCAGGGCTTCCCAGTTCTCAGTGTCTATGCAACAGTTTGGATTTGAGCCCGTCTTTAAATCTCTTTTCCTGTCCTCCAACATTCTGTTTTCCATTCTTGAGTTCGGAATAGAGCAACTGCTTTGGGAGACAGTGGTTGGACATCCGGACAACATGGCCAGTCCAGCGGAGTTGATGGCGGAGGACCATCGCTTCAATGCTGGTGGTCTTTGCTTCTTCCAGCACTTTGGCATTTGTCCGCTTGCCTTCCCAAGAGATTTGCAGGATTTTTCGGAGGCAGCGTTGATGGAATCGTTCCAGGAGTTGCATGTGACGTCTGTAGACTATCCACGTCTCACAGCCATATTACAGGGTTGGGAGGACAATAGCTTTATAAACAAGCACCTTGGTACCCCTATGGATGTCCCAGTCCTCAAACACTCTGTGCTTCATTCAGAAAAATGCTGCACTTGCAGAGCTCAGGCAGTATTGAATTTCAGTGTCAATGCTGACTTTTGTGGAGAGGTGGCTGCCAAGGTAGAGGAAACTGTCAACATTTTCTAATGTTACACTATTAAGTTGTATTTCTGGCATTGGAGAGGGATTGGCCAGTGACTGCTGGAAGAGTACTTTGGTTTTCTCGATGTTTAGTGACAGGCCGAGCTTCTCGTATGCTTCTGCAAAGGTGTTTAGAGTGGCTTGTAGGTCTTCTTCTGAATGTGCACAGATGATGTTGACATCAGCATACTGGAGTTCTATAGCAGATGTTGTTGTAACCTTGGATTTGGCTTTCAGTCTGCTGAGGTTAAATAGCTTGCAATCTGTCTGATAGATGATTTCCACTCCAGTGGGAAACTTCCCATCAACAAGATGAAGTATCATAGCGATGAAGATAGAAAATAAGGTTGGGGCAATAACACATCCCTGTTTGACACCTGATTCCACCTTAAATGGGTCACTTTGGGAGCCATTGCTGTTCAAGACTGTTTCCATCATGTCATCATGGAGGAGCCGCAGTTACATTTCCTGAAAGTGCACCCAAAAACCCCCCTTAGAAGCTGGGCAATGCTGCCAGCATATAGGTTTCCAAGGCTCTGAAGAGTGGGGTCATGAGTGAAGGTGTCCACCTTTCTTATGTTATCAAAGTGCTTTGTGATAGGTAGTTATAGTAGTACCCTGAAGGATTTCCTGTGCTGTCTTTCAGAAAGCCCCTTGATACTGGAAGAGAGCTTGATGCCATTTTACTCATCAGCCCATTCCCAAGTGGAAAATATCATGGAAAATATCTATGTTGATTCCGTTGACTAGCTTCTAGAGTTGGTTTCTGTGGGGTCATATCAGGAGATGCTGCTATAATGACAAAATTCCATCATTGCAGCTGCATTTCCTGAGGATCCTTGGACCCCTGTTAATAGCCATGCTAAGATCTTGCAAATCCAAGGCCATCATGTTAGGGGGTACTGTCGTTTTAGCCTTGAATATATTTTAATAAGTCTATAAGAATTTTAACTGTTTATTTTAATACCATAAATTCTATTTCAATGTTTGTATATTTCTATTTTTAGGTTTAAAATGGTATTTCATTTGATTTTACTGTGAGCCTCTTTGAGTCTTTTGTAGAGAGAGAAAGCAGGGTATAAATAAATATAAACAGAAGTTCCTTGTTTGAATCTTTCCAAAATCTTTCTCTTTACCTATTGCTTAAAAATATACTAAGCATTATTGCTTTTTCTAATGAGTTACGTTATTTTATGCTATGTCCCAAATATAATTACATCAGTTTGAGCATTTTGGTTTTTAAGAGAGAGTCGAGGCTTGATTGCGTCTTGGATCGATTATTTCTCTTTTTGTTAGCCCGTGTTATCTGTCGATCTCTCCCCCAGCACTACATTTCAGATGAGTTGATTTTCTTCATGCCAGCTTTCTTCACTGATTAGCTTATACAACCTTAGATAAAAATCAGGAATGTTTTGGAACCTTTTCCTTACACTTTTTTTAAAAAAATACGATTTGGCCTCCCCTTGTCTTATGACTGTTATTTAATTTATTTGTTAAAATATATAAGTCAATTCAATAAAAAAGTATACTTCTTACACTGGAGTAGTACTATATAAACTTAAGGTTTGCTTCCATTGATAATGATCATTCGCATTTGAATTAATTAATTTAATATGTGAATAGTTTTCTTCCTCTTTATAAATCACCTTAAAATATTGGATTAAAGGAAAATGATGAAAACTTTAAATATCAAAAATAATTTCTTGAAATTGCCTCACTCCTGCCCGAAAACTTTCATATTTTTGCACTATTGTAAGAAATAATACTTACTTAATATTATTTCTGCTTCAATGTTCCCATGGTTAATTGGAAACTTTGCAGAGGAAGGTGACTTATGCATTGATAGCCTGGCAAGGCACTTATGTCTAGCAGCCAGGTCTCTATGCATAATTCCTTGTACTGGATCAGTCATTATGTCACAGCCATTAATACTGCTGAGACCATCAATAATAATTAGTTCATCTGTTTCCATACAGGCTAGAAAGTGAGAATAGTTTCTATGCTATCTAAGGAAATAAGTACTTTGTCTAGAATGGAGACTAAGTATGCTAGTAGAGGAAGCAGAGCACAGATTAATAGAATGCGGGAGACCTTTAGTTTTATGATTTCTGCAGAGAAAACATGATAGCTAGGTCTTCATCTGACATGCCATGGTCTATGAATATCTATGAAAATTAAGAGTGATGGCAAGTTTTTTTCACCCATCTCTGTTTTTCAGTTGCTGTAGAGGCATGGGCCAATGCTACTTTAATAATTGTCAGAAAGATGTGCATTTTGAACCTCACTGAGCTTTGTTTGTAGATTCTGGGAGGAGGGGGGGGGGCTTTATGATCCGAGCGTAGACCCAAAACTGAAAATTTCCACAAATGCTTGCTTCTATGCCTTGGAGACTTTATGGTCTAAAACAATGGAAATTATGAATTCAACCTTCTGAAATCACAGGACATGGGTGTGCCCCCACCCCACTACAGTTGTCTTCTTCTCCATTCACATCAACAAAAGATGAAGTATAGGCAATCCCTGAGTTACAAACATCCAACTTACAAATGACTCCTAGTTAAGAATGAGGATTAGACAACAGGAAGTAAGAGAAACCTACTCCTAGGATGGAAAATGCACTCCTTAAAGACTTTTCACAAGACAAAGGTGTCTCCAAGCTTTATTACCAATCCTTGGTTCCACAACAAGCCAAAGTTTTCAAAATCTAATTATCACAGGGACCAAAAGTGTGGTAAAATCTTCTGGACAGGGGCATGGACAGCAAAAATAACTCCATAGGGATGTTAACCCTTCTCTATGCAATCTAACCATGTGTGTGTGTGCGGCTGGAGTTACACTTTACACATACATTGTTCCGACCTACAATTTAACTTAAGAACAAACCCACAGAAGCTATCTTGTTTGTAACTTGGGGACTGCCTGTAGTAATATTGCTTATATGTATGGGTCTGTTTCATTTTTCTGATAGCAATGAAATGTAAGAATATAGGGATGTTAGGTGCATCAAAATCTAGGAATATTTGTATTGGGACCATCTGTATTAATTACATTATAACAAAATAATAGTTTTGCATTATTGCAAAAATAATAGTAGAGGCAAAATTATAGCTAGTAATGAATCTCCACTTATGTTCTATTGCAAACACATAGTAAGAAAATTGCCATTTTTAGTTGAACAGAGAGCCCTTCCACACAGCCATATAACTCAGAATATCAAGGCAGAAAATCCCACACTATGAACTTGGGTTATCTGAGTCTACACTGCCATATATTCCAGTCCAGGGCAGTTAATGCGGGATTTTATTCAGCTGTGTGGAAGGGGCCAGAGTTAAGAGGCAATGTGTTAACTTATTTCTAGTAATGGTTTCCAAAATTGAAAATAAAGATAATTCTCATAATCTCTTTTCATAAAAAGTAATACATTGTGATTTCATAATCATTTCATTTCTGCCATATTATAGTTCTCAATAATTTGATTGGAAACCTTTGTGATGGAAGTACTGACTAGTAGTGAAATAAGTGTCAGTTGGCTATAGATTCAACTTTTGACATTTTTGTCTCTGAAGTTTTAAATTCTTACCAAATGACATTGGTTGAGTAGAGCCATGTGCATAACTGAGAAACTAGGCATCCATCCATCCACAGTTTGGGCATTTTGTGTGAGAAGAGCAGTGTGTGGAACAATTGAGCTAGGCACTCTTAAATAATGAAACATGGCAACTATTTTAGTTGTAGCACATCTTTATCACTACTGGGTTTCAATGAAGCATATTACAGAATATCAAGATACGTTGGTATGTGTCTAATGATGAGGGCAGCAGCCAAGGTTTTGGAATGAGTATATTCTCACTATACTGGTTTTCTTCTTTGTTGTATTAGGTATGCCACCAATGTACATGTACTCTCTTTTGAGTTTTCCATTATTCCATTATTGAATGAACACAATATTATGCTTCACAAAAATAATGGAAAGGTTTAATCATTGTCTTAATTTTGCATCCTTTTCCTTTGGTTTAATTTAGAAATTTTCCTTTTCTATTTTTCAGGTATTCTATTTGCCCTTGGCTTTCTTTATTCCACCTTCTGTGTATGCTGTTCATCTCCAATTTAATCTGCTATACCAATTCTGGATACATACAGAGGTAATATGGGATTTTAAGCAATGCATAAACTGTGTTTTGGAAACTTACTAGTAGCTGATTTATTGTGTAAGAAAAGTCTTTTTCTGACTTCACAAAGAGAAACATATGCTCATTTTATTCTTGATTTTAGGATATATAAGAAATGAAATGAGTGGAGAGTGAGTGGGCTATATTTATAAGAAGCAATGAAGCCAGTTGGTCCCAATTAGTTTGAAACACTTTTAACTACAGCAAATTCAAACAATATACTTCTTTGGTACTGTGTTCTATATATACATAAGAATACACACATACAAACATACTTCTTACACTGTATGATAATTGCTCCAACACTGATAGACTGACTGTATATTTTACCAAAGTATTTTCAGAAAGAAACTAAACTGCCTAGATTATTTTAAAATTTCAGTTATTACAGGTTGTTTTTTTGTTGTTGATTGTTTTCATCTCTCATATGATTATCTGCACAGCAAAATTACATGTGAATATATTTTTTGCATGTGTATGCTATTGTTCTGCACTGATTACTAATTAGTTGGTAAGTTTTATTATACCTTTCCAATAATCATGGATTTTAAAAAGATACAATATACAAGGATATGCAGTCATCCTTCCATATTTGTCAGCTAAGCATTAACTATTAGGTTTGATTATTCAGAGGTTATTGTTTTATTAACTGCTGTGTGTCCCCTCGGGGAGAGAGGGCAAGTTATAAATAAAGTGTTGTTGTTGTTGTTGTTGTTATCAATATTATTGCTGTCTTCACTGCTACCTTCACAACATTTTTAACATGGAGGTTGGTAACACCAGTATTGCTATGAGGAAATCAAATTGGTGAGATGGCTGTGCAGTTGAGGAGGGTGAAAAGGAGGAGAAATAATAGCCTTGGTGTGTCTCTGCTGCTGGTTGATAGGAGATGTGAAGAGGGAGGAAAAGGGCTGAGGATCGGACTGGATGCCGCCTGGGTTGCTCCTATTATTCTTATTATTATTGCAAAGGCTGGATGACCATCTGTTGGGGGGTGCTTTGACTGTGCTTTTCCTGTATGGCAGAAGGGGGTTGGACTAAGTGGAAGACCTTGGGGTCTTCCACTGAAATACTGGTAAGTTTATGTTGGTAACATTGTTCTTCATTTTAAGTATTGTATTGTTCTTTCTTTCTTTCTTTGCACTACAAACAAGATATGTGCAGTGTGCGTAGGACTTCATTTCCCCCCCAATTAGTTCACACAAACATTCTACATCCATCTACCACTGGCCCCGCCCATCTGTCAATTTTTAAAATGCATTGTGGCTGTTATGTTTTTGGCTTTTCCAATATTGCTTCTGACTTTATCCCAGGCATCATCATTACACATATAGAGGAACCCAATATGATATTCACCTGTAAATGCTTTGAGTCAATTGGTGGTCAACGTAAAGTGTCTCTGAAGTCATTGTGAATGGGATTCCAGTGCATGGCATCTGGATTAAAATAATTGATTCATCTTTTTTTCTGACAAATAGATGGAGTATAGAAAGATAAAATTGCAGGTAGCATGGCTAACACATATGGAAACATTCAATTTTAGAAACAAAATGTTTTTCTGCCACTTTAGCTCTAAGTTATATTGTTGTTGTTGGGTTTTTAAAATATTGCATTGTATGTTTTACTTATTTTATGTTACGTGGTCCATATATTGCTGCAAGGAGGCCCACATCTTTCTATGTTGACCATAAAAACAGTGTTTTTGGATTTCCTGTGCATATTGTTTGGGTTTCTTGCTGTGCACATACACTTGACCTTTTATGTACAATATACTCCCACCTTTTAAAGTATTATAAATCTGAAGGTCGTACTAAACTGCTCTGGTAGTTATAATAAAAGACCCTATAATAAAAGACCCAAATCACAGTGGGCTGCTAGAACAAATAAAATAGTTCTGTGTGTGTGTGTGTGTATGTATGTGTATAGAAAGGGATCCAGGTGTTACGGTGACAGAAATAAATTTAATTTTGTTCAGTTGTTGCTCCCTGACAGATGTGAATTATATATTTATATTTAATTATGCGCGATTCCATTGCAAAAATGACTCTAATCTAGTAGCTACCTGTATTGCAACATTAAATCACAAATAACTATGATGTCAAAAAGTCCCCACAAATGGTTTTTTATATTAAATAAATGATGCTCCTAAATTTATAAAATGATTTTTAGTTGTTTTTATCCAAACTAGTGGTACAGACTCAAACATAAGAGGTCTGCCTTTAATATAAAATCTATAGGCAATAGATCAGGGCTTTCATGGCCGGAATCCCCAGGTTGCTGCAAGCTTTTTGGGCTATGTGTCCATGTTCCAGAGCATTCTCTTCTGACGTTTCGCTTGCATCTATGGCAGGCATTCTCAAGGAGAAACATCAGGAGAGAATGCTTCTGGAACATGGCCATACAGCCCAAAAAAACTTACAGCAACCCAGTGCTGATTAATCCTGGGTAATTGCACTTCTTGAGCAGCTTCTGATAATCCCCTTTTCTCTCTCTTGCTGCTACTTCCCCCTTTGCCCTCATCTTACTTCCTTTACTGCACTCAGATGGAGAGGAGAGAGGAAGCACCCCTGGCTTTTCCAGTAAAGTCCCTTCCACACTGACCACTTAGATCTATGTATGAGTGGATCAGCCAAACACCACACAGTGCTGATCAAGAGCAATATGGGACAAAGCTACCTTAATGTGACTTTGCTCCACATTAGCCAAAGTCAGGGGAAAGTTTGAATTCTAGCACAGAAACCTGACTGCAAACCACCCAAGCCTGCAATGGCAGTGGGGGCAGTTGCAGAGAGTTCTATTTTCAAAATACCCAACTGTTTCCATAAGACCACATTCAGCAGAAAGAACACAATACCTTTTTTTGCCCAAAATATTTTTTTTTTTGGCCAAGAAAGTGAAATGAGAAAATTGTGCAATTTTATTTCAAATAAATAAATAATCTTAGCCAGCAGGAAGGAAAGTTTTAAAATTCTCCATCATCTATGCTAGAACAAAATAAGCAGTAATTAACACCCCTACCCTGGACAATTAGTATTTTGTAATTCATCTCTGTATTTGACTAGTAATGTTTAGAATTGTTCTGTGATTATCCTTAGAATTACATACCTATTTCACCAAGTAGGTTGATTTGTATTTTAAATTAGGTTATAGTAAATATAAATACAAGGTTGTGAGTGTGTTCTGTCTGAGTCAAAACCCATGAATTTGTCCATTGTAAAGTAGACTCTTCTGTTGAAAAGGGTAGGGAAAATATTTCTATCAAATGCCGGGTTCACTTACAATCTTAGTTCAGGAATTAAAAACAAGTCTGAGTGACAACATTTTGCCTTCAAGGTAATTTATTATATACGCATTTCTCAGTGCCCTTCTATTTATTGTATAAACAGTTTCTAATGCTGACTATCCACTAAAGCTAAGTTCTCATTCCTTTATTCCTAGAATACAGTCATATCAGAAATTCAGACCCCCATGAATCCTTTATGATCCCAACAGGCTGGTTCCTTTAGCTTGTTTTACTTCCAAACCAAAAATATTATTGTTTCACTCCTCAATGTGGAAATTTGGCTACCTCCATATTACATGCTTACTGGAGTAGAAAACTGCCTAATCAGATAAAAAAAACAGTTGGCGGTGAATAAATCAGAGTTTGCCGAAAATTTCAATGTGTGCAAGCAGGGAGAGGAGCATATATCCTAGGAGTTCTGCCTTTGCCCTGCTTCCCTGTAGAGAATTCACATGGCAAATATGGCCACCAGGTCCATCTGTATAAATACATGGGTGGGTTGTCTTGAATTAGTACAACAGCTTAGGTAGAGAAAGCAAATCACGCTTTAATTTTTATGTTTCCTCACCAGATGGACTAAAATATGGATCCATATTCTAAACAGTTGCCTTTTCAAGAAGGATTTTATAAATTTATGGACAAGTTAAAACTAATGACTTGTAGGGCTTTATTTTAGGTTGACAAGCAACTCATAATTACTGTATACATTTGAATGTAATTGTTCCTACTGAATTCTTTTCTATGTTTATGAAGTCTTCCAAGATACCAAAGGGATTGTCAGCACTTTATGGATTCCAGAAACCAAGGGGAAGAATCATAGAATCATAGAATCAAAGAGTTGGAAGAGACCTCATGGGCCATCCAGTCCAACCCCCTGCCAAGAAGCAGGAATATTGCATTCAAATCACCCCTGACAGATGGCCATCCAGCCTCTGTTTAAAAGCTTCCAAAGAAGGAGCCTCCACCACACTGGGCAGAGAGTTCCACTGCTGAATGGCTCTCACAGTCAGGAAGTTCTTCCTCATGTTCAGATGGAATCTACTTTCTTGTAGTTTGAAGCCATTGTTCCGCGTCCTAGTCTCCAGGGAAGCAGAAAACAAGCTTGCTCCCTCCTCCCTGTGGCTTCCTCTCACATATTTATACATGGCTATCATATCTCCTCTCAGCCTTCTCTTCTTCAGGCTAAACATGCCCAGTTCACTAAGCCGCTCCTCATAGGGCTTGTTCTCCAGACCCTTGATCATTTTAGTCGCCCTCCTCTGGACACATTCCAGCTTGTCAATATCTCTCTTGAATTGTGGTGCCCAGAATTGGACACAATATTCCAGGTGTGGTCTAACCAAAGCAGAATAGAGGGGTAGAATTACTTCCTCTAGATCAGACACTATGCTCCTATTGATGCAGGCCAAAATCCCATTGGCTTTTTTTGCCGCCACATCACATTGTTGGCTCATGTTTAACTTGTTGTCCACGAGGACTCCAAGATCTTTTTCACACGTACTGCTCTCGAGCCAGGCGTCCCCCATTCTGTATGTTTGCATTTCATTTTTTCTGCCAAAGTGGAGTATCTTGCATTTGTCACTGTTGAACTTCATTTTGTTAGTTTTGGCCCATCTCTCTAATCTGTTAAGATCGTTTTGAATTTTGCTCCTGTCTTCTGGAGTATTGGCTATCCCTCCCAATTTGGTGTTGTCT